GTATACATAAATCAGCAATGTAAATAAATTACTTAAAATATTTCAATTTTATGTTCAATCCGTTTAATATAACTTTAATATTCCTCATGTTTGAAAAAAAAAACGTGTGTGAAGTAAGTTAAAAATCACCGTTAAATCCTTTAAAACTACTTTAGTTCAATGTATTGCTTCTGTCAAGTTAGTGTTTTGATTTTAGGGTAATGATATTGAAATTGTACATAAACATATAATACAATACACATGTAGCTTGCGCTCGAACATATGCTTGAACGGAATTAACAATAGGTATTGCACGACTGAGCCCCTTTGACTTTACGAATTAGGCATCCGTACACTACGATGACTATAATAGCTGCTATGGAAGCGTTATTTTACTAATCTATGTGTCATTTACTTAACCTAACAAGTATTCAGCTCAAATAAAAACATTTTTATTGTTTTATTTCATTTGTTTTGCTACCTTTATTTTCATTACGAGCATGTAATATTTACAGTTAAGCATAGCACGCGCTGCTTGCATGTTCATATTAATCTAAACAAATCGACAAGCTTGTATGTTATTGTATTAAAGGAGCACTATCTGTCGATTTAGTATTATTTAAATGTATTTGTTTTATGTATCTCATTATATATGTACGTGTATGTATATAGTCTGATATATTATATATTAGTGTTTATTATTATTATTGTTATTGAATTGATTAGATTGTAACTCTTCTACTCACTTATGTAAAGCTCTCCCTCTTTAAGAACGGTTAGCTGGTAGATAACTCAATTGTTGAGTTAAGCTCGCCATTTTATAACTTTTCGCAATTATTTTACTGTCTTAACTGTGTGTACAATAAAGAATAAAGATAAATGTTTTTTTGTAAAAAATATTATTCTTGTTGAGATATTAGTTCATTGCCATATCGGCAGTGATTTCCTAATTACATGATTGATTCAAAAGCACTTCTAATTTATCAACGATTTCTATCATAAAGCAAGATATCGTGTCATAAAATCAACCTTGCAATTTTCATGAATTTACGTAGGTACGTTACGTAGCCTTGCTTTCTAAGGCATGGTTAATTGTAACGGCTACAAGGGCCGGGTCATAGTTATTGCAATGTATTTGAGACTTTAACCTCAATGCGAACAGCGGCTTTAACATTAGGTTATCACCTCCGTCAAAAAAAAAGAAGTGTGGTGTCGTGGGACACCCACCGGATAGGAAAGAAGTTCCTTATTATAAAAAATATTAATTTTAAGTTCTATTCGAGGTATAAAGAAAGTAATAATTCGGGTATACATTTTTTATTATGATTTTTTTATTAATAAAAAAACTACTTTACAAAGTTATCAACTTTATTTTATTCACAATGATTTATAAAAAAATATATAATAAAAATATGTTATTTTTTGTACGTTATTACAAAGCTAAGTCGTACACTGTGTGCATTACTAATAAAAATCTTACGTTACGGACATTTTTTCCCAGTTACGTTACCCCTCCGCATCGTCCCATAAGGAACTTCGTTCCAAAAACTCACGATAAACTTCCAGGTTTAATTTTTTACAAGACAATCCTCTCTGAAAATGAGTAGTAGAGAGTAGGTAATGAGTCAGATGAAGCGAACCGAGTTGTAACTTCGCATTCGCTCTACAGCCGTCGGCGGTTTCTCAAAGTTCCCCATTCGGCAGTTGTCGCGTGAAATTTACGGGTTAATTTTCAATGGGAACGAGTTTTGAGCCACTCGAAATTTAGGGTTCACATTATTACTAGCTTTTCTGCCAGGAATACAGATTGGGGCAAGATTGCGGTAAGTTTTTTTTTAATTCAGTCGAATTAGAAGAAATTTTCTTACGCATGATTTTAAACCACGATATTTTTACATAATCAGAGTTCGTAGAATTCCTTTTCATCCAAGCCTAAAACTAACGTGTTATTATCAATTTTCTGAAAATAACTCGTTTATCAATCATATTTCGTATTCTTCTTTTTGCAACGAGACTGGTTACACTTCTATTTACATACATCTGAGGATTGAGATTTTAGATGAGGAATCTTAAATATTCTACACTACGCTACAACAAGTTGATTGGTTTAACCAACCATTTCAGACCCAAATGCAATATGAAAGCATGGTTTGCTAGTCCATTTTCGGTTGGACAGCAGCTTTGTTTGCTTTTAAGTCCATTACGCACAGCTTACAGGGCGGAGGATCTCTTGGGAGATGACTGGATTGGACTGCCTGGGACTGGTTGCGATTCTAATAATTTCTGTAGAACCATCAATGCCAGTAATCTTGTGGTGGGTAGCCATCATACAACGCAAGATATTTGACAGATGCCTGAATCTCGCTTACGAAATTTTCAAGATAAGCTTGCATATGTACAAGTTCCGAACAACAACATTAGGACAGTCGGTCTACCGAGCAATATCACCAGCTCGGTGGAAAATCTTCCTTTCGTCGTAAACCTCCCACAATCTTATTACTCATCCACGACCCAAGATCTAATTTTGGTATGTAATGCCATTAGTAAAATTATAATCCAACGTCATGAGTACCTCCAAAACCTTAAATGATAAAACAAGTAATAAAATATAAAAGACAAATTTGCCTTTTTGATTATGATTCTTTCGAAATCCTAAAAAGTTTCATGAAACAATTCTAACGCTACTAAAAGCCTCGTCAAAATATTGTTTAAACTAGCCACGTGAACAATGCTGCTTTGTATCGATCGCGTTAATTTCGGCTGAGCTCGAAGCGCTAATTATTAAAACGCATTAAGGTCACAAGTTGTTTTACGTCTACGTTATGATCCATGGACGGCTTTGTTGACGGGCCAGCTTTTGTTAGGCCGCGAACTTGTGCCCGGTGACTGGCGCTTTCACTCTGGCCTGTCGCAACAGCCAACCCGAGAGTACGAACCGCATAGGGTCGTCATTTTCGTTTGTCATCAATCTATGTTAGGGCTTCTGACATGCAAGTGTTAATTAAGCAAGCCTCACTCGAACGTAATTAAGAGTATTACAATGTTATTTTAGACTTTAATTGAGTTGAAATTTCTTGTAATATTGTACGAAAGCGGAGAGAGGTTCGGATTTGTCGGGTAATTTTGTTTGAAGGCCATCTTCGACGCACATCATAAAGCCAAAGTACACTAGAGAGGAAGCAAGCCAAAGTTTCGATCGGAAATGAAGATTAAGAAAGGCGTTGCCGATGTTATCATTTTCGCAAAAAGTTTTAGGCGTGCTATTTTAATTAACGTACATAAATGTGTTGTGAAATATGGCGAAGGCAGTTAAACTCTGCAAAATATTGTCTCCTGACATATTTTATTGCTGCTAATAAAACGTCGCACGGTGTGAGGTATGCGTTGAACACCGCCGGTGCCGCAATGTTTCCAAAAGAAAGCTAGTCTCTTTATCATTTGCGGACAACAGACACTGGAGGCTTACCGCAGCTCGAAGGCGGTAAACGACATACTTATGTACCGCAATGTAGTCGTACGACTAAAGGGTCTATGCGGAAATTTCGACGATTTTGTGCTCCTTGAAAAATATCGCTCTCCCAACGATAGGCTATTGTTTGGAGATGGTTTTTTTTTTGTAGAATCTCATATCACAATAGCGTCCTCAATTATTTTTATAAACTGACGTTACACTGTTCTACATGGCTATACGACGATTCTTTTGAGACCCCGTCATAAAAAAGGGGAATATGGTTAACCGAATATACGAGAATTGACATTTTCGAATATTGTTAATGTAAGCAAATCATTAATGGATTCTACTTTCCTTAGTAGCAACCTACACTATTATCACAAGCTTCTGTGTGATTTTAAAGCGGGTGAGGATTAGGAGACACTGTTCGTAGAACGGATGGCCATTGGGGCTGGAAAGTTCCTGAGTGGCGACCGTGTACCGGAAGACGTAACGTGGTTAGGCCTCCCACAAGATGGACCAACGACCTATTGAAGTTCGCGGAGATCCACTCGATGCAAGCAGTGCAGGACCGCTCTTTGTGGCGAGGCTTGGGGAGGCCTATGTCCAACAGTGGACATCTATGGTCTGATAGAATAGAATAGAACATTTTATATAGAGTCCGTCTTTCTATGCTGTCGTAGGCTTTAGCAAAATCTACACTGACCGAATGAATACTTAGTGCATACTTCCATCTTTTCTACGTTAACTGTTTCAGAGTAAAGGTTTGGTCGACTGTGCTACAATTACGTCTGAAGCCACATTGATAACTCCCAATGATTTTGTCTGAATACGGCTCTAGTTTTCTTAGTAAAACGTAAGATAATATTTTGTACGCTGTAGGTAGTAAAAGAATTCCTCTGTAGTTATTGCGTTTCTTCCGCCTGCCTTTTTTGTGTGTCAGGCAGATGACCCCCTGATACCACTGGACAGGTTGATGTTCGAATTCCCATATCCATTTAATAAGGGTACAGTCTGGACTGCTAGCTAGGCTTCTCCGCCATATTTCCACAATTCAGATGGTAGGTTGTCAATGCCTGGCGCTTTATTGTTCTTAAGCCTCATAATAGCGTTTCTGATTTCTTCGAATGTTATTAATATTCTGGGGGAGACTAATGCAGGATCGGGCTGTAAAACGGGTGCACGCGGGTGTACCGTAGGGACGCTGTCCAGTAGGGAGGCCTAAGTACCGCTGTTCTGACGCTGTGGAAGGAAATTTACGTGAACCCCAAGGATCGTACTGGCAAGGGGTTGCGCAACGCTGGATTGAATGGCGACGTTTATTGTCGGAGGCCAAGACTCACTTCGGGGTCATTGCTCCAGCGCAGTAGTAGTAGTAATTAATGGATTGTTCTAAACATTTGCGGCAGTCTACATTATAAATATTATTATTTACCGCATTCTTACCGCGAGTTTCAGCTTACTGTGTTCATGGCACTTGCAAGAGCACACAAGTCACTCGTGAAATGTGAGGACCGTGGTGGGAACCCGTTAATAGTTGTGTTTATAATTAAACGATTTGTTCTTACAGATGAGATGGTAATATCATCCAGCAAGTACGAAGTGATGAACACAGTTATAAGTTCGTTTGAGAGTCGCATGGCTTTGACTGTCCGAAGATTGTCAGAAGAAGATATAGGCGGCTACCGGTGCGTTGCGAAGAATTCTCTGGGCGAAACCGATAGCCTCATTAGGATATACGGTTAGTTTTCTTTCTTAATGTCTCTTTTTTTTTTGGTCAGGAGGAAATCGCCGGACTTCCGCCCTTCCCTGGGGATGGAGGGCGGAGCATGTCGGAGTCGAACCGACTAAAACTTCCTGTCGCTCAACAACCAGCATCCAAACCTCGCATAAGACAGAGCTCATGAAAAGGCAAAGGGGGGAAAGTGAAGTGCGGAGCACATCTTTTAATGTCTCTTGGTCTATATTTGACGGCACTTGTTAATTATGAACACGATAGTGATATATGGTTTTATTTATTTCCTTAATGACCCGCCAAATTAGGGGCTGCGATGCTACGTAGGCGGTTATTTGTCACAATTCCTTTTATGATTCATTATAATTAAAATGTGGGACCGTTTCAGACAGAATATCCAGTATATTGATCATTGCACGTATAGCCGTACTAAAAAAATATTGCAACTAAAATTAAACGAGTATAAAAAAACCGACACGCTGTGTCTCTATCTGGTCATGGGTGTAGTACGATAGCGGGATATAATCAACCAGCTATCTTTGCTTGAAATTCTCTTCAAAAATTATGACAAAATTTAAAAATTCCATTTATGTGGTAGTGATTGGTGGGTATTTTTTGTTGTTTCCACTTCGGAAACCGAATTATTTTCGATGTACAGAAATAAAAATTACACAATTAAAAACTCTTTGGACAATATATCTTATTCTATACCTTTAAGCGAGCAATTCTTGTATATTAATATATACAATTATAATCTGAATCTCGGAAACGGCTCTAACGATTATCATAAAATTTAGTATACAGTGTATTTCGGGGGCGATAAATCGAATGTGTGTGTGCGCCGGGCCTCGGTTCGCAAACTGTGGAAAACATCTGTCAAGGCTTTAATGAGCAAGAATTCCACATGACCACGACTGCTCTGCTAAGAGCAACCGATTATGATGAAATCGATCTAGCTACGATTTATTTTCAGAAAATGTTGTTTTATTTGTGTTTTCAATAATCAACTCTTCCCGACATCTATCGGCGAATAATAATACTATTTTTCTTAATTGAGGGCAACTAACTGCTTTAAAGAAACAACAAGATGGCGTTATCAATGTTATTGTTATTTTATCGGTTATCGTCTAGTAGATTTATAATAACGCGTAGATTATTCTGACCTAGCTTGCGTGATTCATTTAATGTCACTACAAAGATATTCTCTTCCAGAAATTCTCGGTCCAACAGTCAGAAACACGAGCCCGGTAACGAGGAGAGGAGACCTCAAGTACTCCACTCCCATAGAAGATCCCGACGAGCAGTTCGGTTCCGCCGAACGCTCTGACGACGAAGACGAGACCACTGACGTCACAGATCGGCTTCAGTACCAGACCAGGAATCGTACAGTACAACACACAACGAATTCGGCACACGAACAAAAACTAAGCAACAAAGTTAGGAAAATTAGCAATAAATTCGAAATTAAATCTGGATTTGAAACGAACAGCTGTTGCCGCGTACATTCCTATAATTTACATATCGCGATACTAGTTTTAAAGTTTTATGCTTATAATTGAAACTCACGTATAGAAGTTTTTACAATTTTAATGGCGCCAATGTTATTTTATAAAGGAATTTTTGTGAATTAATTTGTTGAATATGAAACTGAAGGAAAACGTGCATATGAAATAGGTTAAATTTAAATCGGGATCAAAATATTTATGTATTAAATTACTAATGGGAACGGCTAACGGTAGGCAGCGGCTTGGCTCTGCCCATGGCATTGCTGAAGTCCATGGGCGACGGTAACTACTCATCATCAGGTGGGCCGTATGCTCGTCTGCCTACAAGGGCAATAAAAAATAAAAACTTCGCCGCAAATTTTATCAATATTATATTTTTTCCAATATGTAGTAAGTACTCATTTTTCAGGAAAAAATAAGTTTATCAACTCTAGGATACATAATCTGCGACCATATTTCTACCCAAGGTGGGTATCTTGAGACATGTACAATAGCTATCCCACCCCTGAAACTGGAATATAAATCTAGATTGTGGCAGTAATAGGCAGGATGGTGGTACCAACCCGTATATCCTTCATGTGTTCAAGGTGGAGAATCAAAAAAATGATTACAGTTATCAATACGTTAGACAATTTTGCGGGGTATCATAGTAGACAGTAATGTGAGGAAGGAGGGTCCTTAAGACTTTGATGGACTGTACGAAAGAAGATATGTGAGAGAATTTTTTATTTTATTTTTTATTATGTGTTAGATGTGTAGATGAGCTGACAGCCCACCTGATGTTAAGTGATATAAGTTCTAAGATCTCAGTATAGTTACAACGGCTGCCCCACCCTTCAAACCGAAACGCATTACTGCTTCACGGCAGAAATAGACAGGGCGGTGGTACCTACCCGCGCGGACTCACAAGAGGTCCTACCACCAGAAGTGTATGAGTGCAGGCATGGTATGAAAGGAAAAAGAGGACATGCTGCGCCGGCCTCACATAGTGGGATAAAGCCCACATAATACATATAATTCATAAAATAAACACATAACATATACACATACAACATAAAAACAACACAACACAATTTAGCTGCTCTTTTCATCTATGCATATAAGTACAAACTATAAGCCTTTTATATAATTAATTGATTACTAAGTGGATTGAAAATTGTTATTGATGACAAAGTTCCGTTAGATATTAAGCAACATTGTATTGGCGATGTATCGCGTTATAATTTACTAATAACCTCCCCAATTATTATAATGGGGTGTCCGTAAGCTCTTTGATTTAATGGAATATAATTTAATGCAACTACAGCAACTAAATGGGTATGTTAGAACAATAAATATCTGTGAACACTTTCATATGTATATTATGTGTAATTATATAATATGTGTACATGATATTGATTCTTAATCTATGCGTATTATACTGGAATTGCAATTTGTATTATAAGATTCGCTTCAATATTTTATGTTCTGTACTATTTGCTAAACATTGCTATCTAATGTACTACTTACTATATACTACTACTAATCAAATGATCATTAATTGGCGTAAATCGCTAGAAGTGCAAAATACTAAGTAAACGTTGTTAGTGAATTGTAAAACTGTGTTTTATTTTCTTAAATTCGTTTATGCTTGTTTTTAATTCAAACATTTTTTTTATCATATAAAGCTTTATTTATTGAAATTCTAAGGCCAACTATACATGAGTCTTAATCTGTCCCATGTACATTGCTAAAGCTAGTTAGATGCAGGATATTATGAGTACTTAGTATTAAACTTTAAACTGATGGCGGACGGCGCGATCACACGTCACAATCTAAATATGGCCCATCTTAGAACATGAGGCCGAACATTCAATTGTGTTCTATAACGGCTATTCCCTCTTCCGACCGGAACGGATTAGTTCGTGGCGGGAATAGACAAGACGGTGATAGGCACCTACGGCTTTCAATTCGTCCAATGAAAATAGTATAAAAAAATCACGACATATCGATATGGATTAAAAAAAAATAACTCTGATAATTCAATATTGACAATACTGGTGGTAGGACCTCTTGTGAGTCCGCGCGGGTAGGTACCACCACCCTGTTCATTTCTGCCGTGAAGCAGTAATGCGTTTCGGTTTGAAGGGTGGGGCAGCCGTTGTAACTGTACTTGAGACCTTAGAACTTATATCTCGAGCTGGGTGACGCATTTACGTTGTAGATTTCTATGGGTTCCAGTAACCACTTAACACCAGGTGGGCTGTGAGCTCGTCCACCCAAAAAAGCAATAAAAAAAGTATTGATTAAATAACAAAGAACTTTCCGAATGTTTTCACACTGAACTGAAAAATAAGTGTTAAGTCGAACACGCGAAGTTCGAAGCAACCCCGCTTGTGGTTTAAATAAAGTCTCGAGTCGAACGTGGCGGATTACCCAACATCTTCCCTCATCTTCATTATACGGCAGGAACTTTACCATTTCAACGCGCCTGCCGACTCCCACGCGTCTGTTTTGTTGCTATGTATGCAAATTAGTCGCCTTAAGTTTCACAAACAAATAAACTTTTTGGCAACGCTAATACCGTATGACTGTGTTTCGGTATTGCCGTCCTTGAGACAATCTATTTAAGTGTTATATGTACCAAGGAAATCGATAAGATCGTTAAATGCGACCTTAAAGTTAATGCGTCTGTTTTTTTTATTATAAATCCTTTCCATAATTTATTACTTAATGTCGAACGAAGGAAAGTGAAATAGGAGGTGATAGGGCGTCGTTTGGTCCCGCACGGATATCATCACCTTGGCTATTTCTGCCGCGAAGCAGTAATACTTCCCGATTGAAGGGTGGGGCAAACGTCGTACTATAAAAAGCTGACACTTAGAACTCATGTCTTAAAGTGTGTGGCAGCATTTACGTTGTCAGTTTCTGGGCTCTCGTAAGCACTTAATATGCTGGCCGTGAGCTCATCCATCTATTAAAGTAATAACAATAAAAAAAATTTATCAAAAAAATCTTTGTAGTGGATAAAGTTGAGGGTGAAAGAGATTACGCCCGATCACCGGGCCGTTGGTGTGACTAAGTAACGGTACTGACTAGCCTGTCTACGACCTCTTTTTTTTTCTTACCCAAGTAGTTGCCAGTGGTCTCGAGTGACTATTCTTGACTTCGCTGTTGTTGCTTATCTAAGTAGCTGCCAGTGGTCTCGAGTGACTATTCTTGACTTCACTGTGGGTGGGTGGGCTATCTCACGCGCTCAGCTTAAGAGACGTTCGACTCTTTAGAGCTGCCGAAAGTCGAACCAATTGGAGGTATTTAACTCAAAACAAAGTTCACTATGGCCATGACATAAAGAAATACAGAACCCGATCAAGAAGATAAAAGCCTAAGCTTATCAGTCTATATCTTTCGAGATAAATCGTTAAATGGTTCGTCCTATTTCCGCCATGAAGCAGTAATGCGTTTCGTTTCGAAGGGTGGGGTAGCCGTTGTAACTATACTGAGACCTTAGAACTTATATCTCGAGGTGGGTGGCGCATTTACGTTGTAGATGTGTATGGGCTCTTGTAACCACTTAACACCAGGTGGGCTATGAGATCGTCCATCCAAGTAAGAAAAAAAAAATACTGGATCGGCGTTGAGGAAAACCGGATTTTCACATCAGGTAAACATTCGTATAATGAACAAGTCACTGGTTTCCGCAGTACAGGGAATCCTAGTTTGAAGAAAGATGACTGTGTGTGAGTTGTCCCCAACTAATATTATATGATCATTATTAATTGCAATTACTATTTGAAATCTTGTTTGTATACTTTTTCTACTAAATTGATCTGGTCGAACTGTGAGCCTGTATTGATTTTGATCACAAAAAATATTTTCTCGACTCACCAAAACGTTTCAAAGATGGAAAAAAAAACGAAATCTTCTTATAATATTTACAAGTTGGCAGTTAGTTTAACAGTATTTTCAATAGATAGAATAATCTACGATTAAAACGTGCTTGCTTCAACAAAGAAGAAAATATTCGAATTGTCCTCAATACTACGAAATCTACCATCATGATAATCTAACAGAAATCGTAAATTTGTTATACAAAGAAACATAACAGAAAACGTAATCTATTATTTTTCAAAAATAAATATCTTTTCCATTTACATTCATCTTATACTGTACAAGCGGCCCGCTTTGGCTCCTCTCGGGTCTATAACAAATATTTCAACGATATTTGACGTTGTTTTATTTTTTTAATTAAAAGAACACTTATTGTGGCATAACTATAATAGTTAGACATATGCTCTCGCGACACTTTTTGTAAATAATAATGTGTTCTACAAAGTCGTAGCACATTATTTTTTTCTATCATCAATAGTTTTCGCAGGGCACGCGATGTAAAGAATATTTTAAGTAATTTTTTTATACCTTGGGTTACATTATTGGAGTTTTAGTAAGGAATTAGGAATCCCTAATTTTTTCAAAAAAGATTATAGTCTATGTCACTCGGGAATAGTGTAGCTTCCAAGCAGTGAAAGAATTTTTCAAATCGGTTCAGTAGTTTCGGAGCCTATTCAATACAAACAAACAAATCCTTCCTCTTTATAATATTATGGTATGGTATATTATATTATAAGTATAGATTAGTTGAAGCGTAACTAAAATATAAATGTAAGTACAATATATTATATTAGTTCATATTTCCAATTTGTCAATGTTTTTTTTTTTTTTATAAATTGTTCATTACAACTCTTAAACAGTGTTGCTTTAATCCACGTAGGTAACACGTGGCGTGTTTTTTTGTCATGCGAGAGCCGTATGGTTAATTAAAACCCGACTGAATTTCGGGGTGTAAATTTTATGTTTTCCAGTTTTTTTTAACGCAACTTTTCGACAGGGCATCCAGTTCTGTTTATTTATGAGCTTTGGCCGTCGCGGATGGACGCCTGGCTTCGCCGACAATATTTTCACATTAATGTTGGCTGTTTTCGCAATAACGATTTAAGGCATAAACATACGCTGCCGTCGGGTAACCATTGTTTAGGGTTGTTTTCGAAATAACGAATTTACAAGCTCTATTTAAA